TCTTAGGAAATGCGCACCGTGAAAGCCGCACGATGCGAAAAGGTTAATCAACAAAATGATCCCCTGTGAATTTTGTCTTGGTGCCCTAGCAAATTGCCTCGATGCCCTCTGATTTTTAGGCCACACCTAGGCAATTTTTGCCTGCCCTCTTGAACACCTAATTCAAGCCCTGATGGTTGAAAAAAACCTGTGACTTTCTCTGCATGGCTCTAGGTTGATGGCCCTGTGCATTCCATGACCAACAATTTCAATGACCACAGCAACAGCAGCAATGGCATCAGTGGCTTTATGTAAAATTGTCTGTTTTGATGCCATATTATGTATTGTTTGGCATTGGTGTCTGAATTATTTTATGCATTCATTCCTCTTGCCAATGTTACTTCAGATTTCCCTAACTGGTGACAATAAAATTGGACAAGCCATTTCGACCTGTTTGAGCCAGTGCGTTATGTCTGGCTGCGCTGTGGTGGTTAAATCTGGGTAGCAGTTGTGTCTCAGAGGAGTAGGAAACAGCCTACTACCGTCATCTTAATGTATGAAGATGGGAGGGGGGCTAAAATTAAATTTACCATTTTATTTATCATTATATTGTTTTTTCTTTTCTTTGTCACGCTGACCAGGTGGTGAGGATTGAGCAGCTGAAGGCCGACCTGAATGCATTGCTGGCTCTGTGTGAGCGTACAGACAACGATATTCGCTCCTGCCTCAACACACTGCAGGTAAGTCGGGTCAGTTTTGATGTTATTCCATGTCTTTCCACTTTTCTGTAAATCAATTTCTGTGAATCTTCTCCAAGGGTCCACGTTGTCTTTCCCTTGATCTTTTACCCTGTGGGTTACAATCCAACACTTTCCTTGTTATTCAGCTGCTTGACTTCCTGAGAGTATGTCCAGTCCATTGCCACCGCCTTCTTCCCCCCTCATTGCTGACTGGGCTCTGTCTTGTACTCCTTAAAACTTCCTCGTTGGTGACCCTGTTTGTCCATCTGATGCTCAGTAACTTCCTCAGACACTTGTTCAAGAAAACCTGGATCCTCTTTATGCAAGCCTGAGATGCATTCCATGTCTCACATCTATACAACAAGACTGACTTCACATTTGAGTTGAAGAGCCTCAGCTTTGTTCGAAGTGAGATATCCCTGGTCCTCAATAATCTTATTTAAAGATATGAAAGCAACTTGTGCCTTTCCGATGTGGGACTTTATTTCAGTGCCTTTTCCTCCCTCTCTGTCAGTTATGCTCCCAAGATAGCAGAGGGATTTGACGTTTTCTAGTGCATTTCCCCCTATTGTGACCTGCTCCTTTTGTGGTACATCTATCCTTGGGACTTTTGACTTTCCTGGGTGGATCCTCAATCCAACAGACTCTGATAGGATGTTTAAAATTATGGTCTTTGCTTGCATCTGTTCCTGGGTGTGTGACAAAAGCGCCAAGTCATCTGCAAAGTCCAGATTGTCCAACTGTGTCCATGGGGTCCACTACATGCCGTTTCTGTGTCCTCTGGTGGTTTCCTTCATCAGCCAGTCAATTGCCAAGATAAAGAGGAAAGGTGATAGTAAACATCCCTGTCTCACACTGGTCTTGATGTCAAAGCTGTCAATGAGCTGGCTATCATGCATTACCTTGCAACTTGAGGAAAGGAGGTGAAAGGAACAATTTTTCTATCGCCGTCAGGTTTCAAACTTAGGACCCATTGAATGAGAAATGGACATGATATCTCTAGATCACGAGAGCGAGAGTCCCTTTCAATATGTGTTCTGTGTGTCCTCACTCCATATTCTGTGTATGTGGTTTTATTTCTAAGTTGGTGGTTTTCAGATGCTCTGGTGTGGTTTGCTCCTTCTTCCCTATCAAACGTCTGTCCCCTCCATCTTTTTTGTTTTTCTTACTCTCTTGTAACACCTCTAATCTTCGGCACTTATATGACCTTATTGTGTTGCAAGTGCTGTAAACACTTACTTAAAAATGAAAAATAAAAATGATGTAACACCTCTAATCTTCAGCACTTATATGACTTATTTGTGTGGCTAGTGCCATAAAACTCATACTAAAACATGTTTGTGTGTTGTCAATGCACACTCTGTGTATGTATTCTCACAACATGTGTGTGTGTGTCCTCACAATATGTGTTTGTGTGTGTGTGTTCTCACAATGTGTGTGTGTGTGTTCTCACAATATATGTGTGTGTGTGTGTTCTCACAACGTGTGTGTGTGTGTGTGTGTGTGTTCTCACAATATATGTGTGTGTGTGTGTGTTCTCACAATATATGTGTGTATGTGTGTGTGTGTTCTCACAACATGTGTGTGTGTGTGGGTGTTCCCACAACATATTCTGTGTGTTGTGTTCTCACAACACGTGTGTGTGTATCACTACATATTCTGTGTTTTCGTTGTCATTAAATGTTCTGTGTGTATGTGTGTGTTGTCATTGCATATTCTCTTTGTGTTCTCACTTCATCACGTTCTGTACATATTCTGTGTTTTCATTGTCACAACATATTCTGTGTGTGTGTGTGTTGTCACTGCACATTCTGTGTGTGTTATCACTACATGTTCTGTGTGTGTTCTCTCTACATGTTCTGTGTGTGTCCTCAGTTTGTGCGTCAGAAGCAAAAGGAGCTCACTCTGAGGGATGTGCAGACCATGAGCGTGGGCCAGAAGGACAGACAAAAGAGTTTGTTCACTGTGTGGTATGAAGTCTTTTCCATGCCTCGTCCCAAGAAGTGAGTTGTCATCTGCACATATTTGCTAAAGTCAGTTACAATATGTGGTCTTGGTCGGGAAAAGTAGGCAATTAAGAGCTTAAGGCGACAAATCTTACGAAAATGACGCCGCTTTTCTTGAAATTGTAATTGTTAATAATTTTATTACTTTTTTAGAAGACTTGCATACTAGCAAATAAAATAAAAAAGTCAAAATAGCAAATTAAAAAACATTAACAATATGTGTTTTAAAAAATTAGAAAAAGCTAGTGTCGTTTTATTTGAAATTGCGTGGTGCAGTTAAACTCTAAATTTTATGTCTTTATCTTAAATGGTTTTTGAGTTTTTAGCTTTTAAAGCCTACAAATCAACATTTTGAGGAAAGGAGCAAAAATATCTCTAAATTGCTTTACAGCATTGTATTGGCTCAAAATGTTATGCAAACTTTATGGAGCTATATCTTTGAGATAAAAGTTTGAGAGTACTTCCATTTGATTTAGCACATAATTTTCAAGGGAAGTTTCTTAAAACCAGAAAAACATTGTCTGGGCCCAAACTGAACCCCAAAAACCCATGTGTGGCCTTACAGAAGACTTAAACGTAAAAAAAAAAAAAAATTAAATGTCTGACTATCCAACTCCTTGTCGCTATTTTAGTGGGGGGTTTTTTTAGCTCCTGTAGGAAAGCAGTTTGTCAGGAATCTGGGAATGCTTATGGCTGTCTGTTGAATTTAAACTAAATTATCGAGCGCCTAGATCGTCTTTTTTTATAGGGATATGCACTATATGAAGGCAATCTGTTATCATTGTTGTTATGGTTATAATGATTATTGTTAGTATTTTTTTTCTTTTGTTTCCATGCCCCATCCCCTGACATTTTTACATACAAGAACAGATTTGGAAGCTTTATTATTCATATTATAATTATTGTTATTATTATAACAATTGTTATTGTTATATGTATCGTGTATTTGGTATTATTTGTATATTTGTGTGTTTGATAATGTATCTATGTATGCATGTTTGCCAAAATTTCCCCACAGGGATTAGTAAAGTGTGGTTTATTTTGTTTTGTTATTATTATAATTATTATTATTATTATTAATATTATATTAATATTGTTATTATTATGATTTATGTTACTATCCTTATTATTATTATTATTTATCCTTATTTTTATTATTGTGTTTTTACCCCCTCCCCCCCCCCCTTGTCATTTCTGTGTACAGGAACAGATTTGTGAGCATCCAGGACCTGGCTGCAGGCAAACAGGAAGCGCTGACCAACAACATCTCTCCACCTGCCAGGTGAGCCTCAACTCTGCAACTCCTGTGTTTGTGTCCCTAGGATGAGGTCATAGTAAGGGATGTTGGGTGGGGAAGGGTGTGAATATATAGGAGAGGCCGGAGGAGGATGTGTCTGTACTTGTGTGTGTGTGGGGGTGTTAATTTTGTTAAATGGTGTGTGTGTATGTGGGAGAGATGGGGACGTGTGTATGTATCCGGGGGGGGGAGGGGAGGTTAAATGTTTGGTTGAGGGAAGGTAAGGTGTTTGTTAAATTACATTGTATTATGCGTAATGCCTAGAGATTTGACAGGTCATTTGTTAATGGGTCCTATGTCTTCCATTTGCCTGAAGTTTTCATGTCTGTTGTTTTTGTTATGGTGGTACAAAAATATTCCTCCTCTCCCACTTGATGTCTTAAATAGATTGGAGGTGTGACTGTTTCAAAAATAGGTCATAAGTGTGAAACACAAATCTGACATATTTTGTTGTTGTCGCCTCCTGTTTACCAGTTCATCCCGTCACTTACAGGAATTTAGTATATTCTCAAGTCTTGTGCACTAAGGAACTGGTGTCAAATAAGAGCAATAGTCATCTCTCAGTGGATGGTTGACGGGTGCTCTTGTGTGGTTTGCTTCTTCTTTCCTATTAAAATCATATTGTCCTCTCTCCTCCTTTTTTTAAAATTTGATACTCTCTTGTAACACCTCTAATCTTCAACAGTAAAATGACCATATTGTATTGCAAGTCCTGTAAAACTCTTACTAAAACTAGAAGAATATCTCTCAGGTAGAAAGGGGGTATACTATATGGACAGAGGGATGGAGGAATAAAAGACAGAGAGAGACAGGGGGGTTTATAGGATGGTGGAATTAGGGAGGTTTATTATAGTAAGGAGAGAAGCAGAGGAGATGTGCAAGATGAAAAAATGCCTGGAAGAATACAAGATAAATAGATAGAGAGACTGGAAGGTATATAGGATGGACAGATGAGGGAGATATTTAGGATGGAGAGAGACTGAGGGTATGTCTGATAGACAGCATGCCAGGAGGAATACAAGATTGAGAGAGACAGGGTTTGCAGAGAGGCACAGGGAATTCGGGATGGAAAAAGACTGGGAGGTATATAAGTTTGAGAGAGACAGGGAGTTATATAGGATGGAGAGAGGAGAAAATGCAGTGTGGAGAATAAAGTCTAGCAAGACAGGGAGGTATATAAGATGGAGAGAGAAATACAGGGAGGTATATTGGATGAAGAGGAAATGCAAGGTAAAGGACTACAGACTAGCAAGACGGGGATGTATTTATATAGGATGGAGAGAGACAGGGAGGTATATATATATGATGGAAAGAGGGGAAAATGCGGGGTAAGAGGAACACAGGCTAGCAAGACAGGGAGGTATAAAGGATGAACAAAAACAGGGAGGAATACCAAATATGAATAGAAGATAGGTAATGAGACTGATTGGGATGAGCATGACTGGAGTGATAAAAACATACTGTGTCATGTTATGAAATGGCAGTGCCACGTTTTGTTCTTGGAAGGACTGGTGGTAAATACTGAGTCCCCCCCCCCCCCCCAATAAAGAGGATCCATTTGAAGGGCAATAACACAGTCATTTTTGGACCAATTTCAACAAAACTTTGAAGAAATAAAATCCAACTGGGGTGATGTTTCATTATGATAAAAATGAACTAGCATGTTTGATAAACATCAAGTTTTTAAAATTTCAACCAAAATTGGGTCACAAGACTTTGCTACTTCTTGAAAATCAACCATCTTTTCAAAAAGTCGTTATTTGTGTTGTGAAAAACAAATTAATACAAAATCAATATTGCCATTAACCCCAGGGAGGTGATGGCTATTTAAATCTCCAGGTGTTGACCATTTTTCTCGCTACAAGCTTCAGTGTGCTACTGATAATTTTGAATGGCCTTGTGGCATGTTTCTGGGTCGATACTTAGGGGAGATCATGTTCAACATTGAGTTTTAACTGTTTGATTGTTTGTGGGTTGTTTCCGTAGACACTGCCCACGAGAATTTGGTGATGATTCATTTGTAAACTTTCGCCTTATAATAGGCTATGGGCTACTGGGAGTGAACCTCCCCCCCCCCCCCCCCCCCCCCTGGGGATTTTTCGCCACCATGATTTTCTGAAAGGGTAGGACCTAGGGACTTCCCCCCAAAAAAGTTTGCACCAAAATGTTGGCAATCTACAGAGTTACGGCCCTTGATTGTCCAGAAATTAAGAAAATACTTGATTTTTATTTTGGGTTTGTCTGTGAAGCAAAAAATGTGTACTTTCATATGATGTAAAACTCAAATATTATAAGATGATGTAAGTGTTGTAAAAAATATTTTTTGCTAATTAATTACAAGGTGCAAAGAGGGGGAAAAAAATTCAAAGGCTGATTTCTCAAAATCTATAGAAATGATTAATTCCATTGCTTCAAATCTTCTATAACTTGATACAATAGTTTTCTGATAGGTTCACACTTTGACTCAAAGTTTGAGGCACAAAATGAGAAGGATTGTGTGCAAAATAACAATGAGTAAAGGAGTTATGACCCTTGCTATTGCTATATTGAAAAAATACAAAACTGCCGCGCGTCATTTTAAAAACGTCAAAAAGGCGGCATGAGTACTTTTGTCTCAGATATAGTCTAGATCAATCATATGGGCATGATAAAGGTGTCTTGAAAAACATTTTGTTAGTTAAAGCTAATTTAAAAGAAGACAGAGGTGAAAAATTTGAAGTCTGGTTTTTCTAGCAATGTACAATTTTCTTTATTCGAGTATGCTTCAGAGAATGAATGGAATGTTCAAAAGATAGAACTGAAATCAGTTCCCTTGACATCAAAGAAAGAGAGGTCAAAATCTCAAAAGAAAGAACAGCTTGAAGAAAGGACATGTGCAGTGCATAACTGTAACTTCAAAGGCCATGATGAAATAAAACCCCTTACTGAGAGACGCTGGGACACCATTCAAAAATGAAAAACACGACGGTGCCTTGCAGAAACTGACAGTGATAGACTATCCTCAATTTGTGAAAGAATACCGACTGAGTTTGACTGTTCAACATGGGTTTCATGATTACTGCTACAATACATTCATCAATTTGAGGAGTCTAAGAAAAAGGCATTCATCAGGAGAGTCTGACAAATCAGCACAAAAGGGTCTTGCTCCACTAGGAAAAAGGTAAAGCAATCGTTTTCAACACGCCTCTTGCCCATGTAATGCCTTTTCTGCGAAAAGACTACTAAATGGACACATGACAGCATGGGAACCAAGAAAGTTCATAAACTTGTCAAATATGTTAACAGAACATCTGAAGCCTCTGTAAAAGAAGCTGTAAACAGGAAAACTGAATCAAAACTTCGGGGCCAAATTGAAAATGCTGTTCTTATTGCCCAAGAGGCATGGTATCATGAACCATGTAGAAAAGCTTACACACGTAAGGAGTATCGACGTTCACAAGCTTCTACATCTAAATACTGTTCTGGAGAAGAAAAGGCAGAAGCTGAAGAAAGAAAGAAATCTCCAGCTGCAGAGGAAGAAGCCCACTCCAAGGCTTTTCAGCACGTCCGTCAGTTTGTGGAAGAACATGTCACTGCGCTGGCCCTTGTTGTCAGGATTACTCTTTTGAAAGAGATGTATTGCACTTTCATGCAAACAAATTATCCAGAGTTTTACACGTACTACAAGACATATAAGTTGAGGAGAAACTTGTGAAGCACTTCAAGTCCAGGGTCAACTTCTGGCAGAGATATTCTGGGACAAGTGATCTCGTGTTCTCTGATGAAATTTCAACTGGGTAGGCTGTCGGAGTTGCCTTTGAAAATGTAACCTCTGAAGAGAGACTTGTTATAGAAGTGGCAAAGGTGATACGACGACCTGTTCTTGATGGATTTCTTTCCTTTTTTTACTCTAAGAATGGAAAACCACAGTCAACAAGATGCCACAGGAGAGTTGTTTCTACAGGTCAGGACATATGCTACAATGTGACGAAAGGGGAATGGAAAAAGCCTCAACATATTATGATTGGTATATGTGTCCGTCATCCAACAGGAAACACTCAGCTGATCAATATCTTAAACCGGCATGGACATTCTGTATCCCACTCATTTCTCTTAAAAGTGGAAACTGCTATGTGTGACAGTATACAGGTTTCTTCAGATAGTTTGGCCCCATCCACCATGCCTGACAACAACCTCATCACTCACTTCTGTTGGGACAATTTTGACTTGAATGAGGAAACTTTATCAGGAACTGGATCCACACGTTCAACTCATGGACTAGTCATACGAGAAATCAAAGAGCAGCCATACATTCCCCAGCCGACACCAGAGGTTGACAGAACAAAGAAAGGATCAATCCATATTTCAAAAAACAGCTTGACCCGTGTTTTATCAATTCTAAGGTGGAACCCACCTTGATAACAGAGTATCAAAGATTTCAAAGTGCTCCATATGAATAATGAAAACAAAAGGCAACTGACACGTTCTTACTTTATGTATGGCAACAAGATTGTTGATGCAATGATGTTGCTGAACAGAGAAATATACTTTGTAAGTGACCAACAGTGCTTTGTCCTCAGTAGCAGTGATGGAAAGACTACAGACTCAAGACCTGTTCCAGAGTTACCCTCCAGCCATGAGGAAGCAGACACACTGCTGATCGTGCATGCCATCTTCTCTGATCAGAACATTGCTACTCCAAACACAGACATCATTATACGGTCCCCAGACACTGATGTCTTTCTACTGATGATTGCATTTTTTCAACATTTCACACACAGTTTGAATTTTGACACGGGTTGGGAAAAAGATGTCTACACATTCAGACTCTCTGTTACAAAATGGAAACACATTTACAGGATTCTATTCTTGGACTTCATGCATTCTTTGGATGTAAGGAGTCTAGCCATTTTGTCCAGAGAGGAAAGGTGAAGCTGCTCACCATTCTCCACAGGCACCCAGAGTTTGCTGTTTCATTCAAGGAGTTAGGAACATCTGAAACTGTTTCTTCAGAACGGTTTTCCAATCTGGAAAAGTTTGTTAGTCACCTGTACGGAAAACCAGCTTACTCTAGCGCTAACAAGTTTCATCATGACCTTGTAAGGCTAAAGTACATGGCAAAAGGTCAAAGCTTACTGTCATGCTTTGATGGATTTGACACCATGCGAGAGAAGCCCTGAAGCTGACATCCTAGGCGTAAACTATTAATAGTATTAAACTTTACTATGGAAGCAAGCACATCTGGCTCAACCATTAATACAAATGTACCTGATCCGCAAGATCTTGGTTGGAAGAGAGATAATGGTGGAGTGCTCTCAGTGGAGTGGCGCAAAGACTTGGTCCCTCAACAATTGGTTGATATTTTGTCAGGATCAGATACAGAACAAGAGGAAGACAAAGATGAAAACCATCTCCTCTATCATATGTGATGAAGAAGATGAGATTTCAGATTCTGGAAGTGACAGCAGTGAAGATGAACTGATGACATAGAAAGCATCTAAATAAGACTTTACATGCAACACCAACTGACTTACAGTATAACATTTGGATAACTAGCACCCAAACAACTCTTCTGTTACATATAATGCTCTATGCAAGTCAATTTCTAGATGCCTTTTTGTCAATTATATAAATTTCTTTGTACGAGACAACTCAATATAATACATCATGTACACAAATAGCCAATATCCATCTGCATTGCTAAGGCCTGTCTGTAACTCTGCATTGTACTGATTTTCTGTTGAACTAAATGTTTTGCATGTGTAGCTTTTCCTTTGTTGTGCAATACCCAGCAGGGAGTATATTACGCTAACTTTGTGCGGCTGTTTTCAATTTTTAGAGAAAACGGACTTAAAACATTATTTTTTTCTCTATAAGCTATGTAAATTACCACAAAATGTTCAATATAACTGTTTTTCTTTAACCCACAACGCCAACTTTAGTCTCAATTAAAAGAAAATCAGAATACCAACTAAAAAAGTGAATTTAAAAAAAAAAAGTTAATTTGCTCAATTTTCGACAATTCAGGGGCAATAACTCCGCAGATTGCCAACATTTTGGTGCAAATTTTTTTTTGTGCATTGTCCTGAGTTTGCTCTTTCAGAAAATCATAGTGAGTAAAAATCCCCAGGGGGGGAAGGGGGGGTTCCAGTAGCCCATAGTCTATAAGGCATTCCCTAGACCTTTCTTGCAACTACTTAAGGGCCACTCTTCACAAGTGGGGTGTGGACCTGTCTTACTGTAACCAGGCCTCTACAGCATAAAACCCCCTCCCCAAACCTCTATAAAACTTTCTCAGCACAGTGAGATATCCATCTGATGTGACTGTCCTGATTTTACCACCTTGTCCTGGACCCAGAATGTGCCGATCAGGCATCTGTTGTTGAACACTTTTAAGAAACAAAATTTTGCGTTTTGCCCAATTTTGATTGAAATTGGTAAAATTTGCTGTTTTTTAAACACTTTTCAAACTTGATGTCCTCATGGTTGAATTTTATTTGTCTGAAGTTTTGAGGAAATTAATGTAGAGGTGATCAAGCTATTGTCCTTTAAGTGGGTCCCCCCTTTTTTTTAGCCACCTTTTACAACAATAGAGCTGTTCACACCTGAAGAGGAAGGTCAGAAGTTTAGTTATTCAACATGGCTCGCTTCCTCTATTTGGACCATGGTCTGGGAGCGTGAACATGCAGGTGTTTTGTGTTTGACTAGCACATCTTTCCTCACCCTGCGACTGGGTGGTTGACAGGTGCTCTTATGACCTTATGAGGTTTGTTAATTTTATTTTTTATCCCTTACCCATTGAACTGTTGCGAATATGAACAACTTGTGTTTCGCGCGCTCATATGACCTTATGCAGTTGCGAGCGCTGTAAAACCCTGTACTACTTACTAACCTTACCCATTTCTATGATATTGACGCCATCTGATTAGTAGAAAAATGTGCGTATGAGAGTGCCCAATAATGTATAACGTACAAAATTGTTATGACATATAACTGTTACATATTGATGTTTAAGATAATTATAGATGATTGTGAAGGATCTGAGAGCAATGAGGACTTTAGAAATGACGGTGATGGTGGTGATAAGTGATGGTGTGGGATGGTGCTTATGTTTGTAATTATTAAGAAGACATGCTTGTGTTATTCGGCTGTTATTGTTTTTTTTAAAGATAAGGTTAGCGTTAGTCCTATCTTCCTCTGCTCTGATGAGTCACGAGGATGTGGGCACCCACTATCCCCTTCCCTACTGGAACCATCTTTTATGTCACTGTGAAGTTCCGAAATAATGGGCACAGTCTCTGCTATAGTGACCTTGTTAGTATTAGCCTATGCTAGCGGGCCAAGACAAGTGAAGAGAGGACCTTGGTAGGTAGCTAGTACAGTGGCAGATATTATTTTTGGGATTTCGTAAGGGGTTTGCAGGTAGCAAGTTCACAACTGGGTTATAGACTTAATACTTATTAAAACATGAAGTTGCGGAGATTCTGACACAGGATCCTCGAACCCGAGTCGAGAGGGAACAATTTACACACAATATTGTATCCCCTCGAATCAGGGTAAGTGGTGAGGTTTGTTAATTGTTTCCTTTCAAACATCTATTGTCCTTATCTTCTTTCCTTTTTTTTGGGTGTGTTTTACTCTTTTGTAACACCTCTAAATCTCCGGCACTGTTATGACCTAATTGTGCTGCAAGTGCTGTAAAACTCGGAGGGGGGGGGGGGGGGGGGAAATCACCCTGAGAGGAAGGTCAGAACTTCAGTCTGTACTATATCTCCTCCCCCCACCCCCCAGGTGGCCTTTGTCAGGTGCAGGTGTGTGGATATCCTTGTGTTTGTACATGATTGGCCCACGCTAGTTACGACTTGTGTGGGCGGTTCGTCTATTTACCCCCACCTCCTCATCCTCCCAACCCCCCACACTCTCCCTTCTTCCCCTCTCGTGATATTTAACTCCTTATTCCCGGAATTATTTTCCACGTTTTGATGGAATTTTTTCTCTCCAAATCTTGTGAACTACGTAATGTGGTATTCACAGATAATATTCATGAAATAGTTAAAACTGTTGAAGTGATAGGGGAAATAATGCACATATTTATCTTACACTTCTGGGTCAGCAAAAACCTACTCGGATTCTTAATTTCATGCACTCTGCAATCTGATTGGATGCTGGGATCGTCCTCTCGGAGACTGGGGGAGTTTCATTGGACACACCCATCATCCTCTAGGGGTATTTGAGTTAAGAGAGTTAAGACACACGGAGGAAACATTGATTGGTCTAATGTGTGAGTTACAGGTTATATGTAAGTAGTACAAATATGTAATTATTTCTGCTTCATGTTTGCTAAGAATATATAGCTGCTTGAAGCATAAACCGTAAATTTAACCAGGGGAAAAACTCTCTGTCTGTAGAACTGAACACATGGCCTCTAGTTTTCTGTTTTAAATAAAGAGTAACCACTGGCACTCAGAGGTTAAGGGGCATCAAAGGTCGTCTGATCGATGCTCACAAACTTGCAGCAAAACAGTTGCTGAAAGTAGCTTAGTTCGACTCGTCTGAAAGCACTTTAGTTCAATCTGAAAAAATTACTGTGGTGACTCCTGCTTTTGGAATTTGAACAAGGTGGAGGTTTCTTTGCCCTTGGAAAAAATTATTTTTTTCTTGTCACTGTCTGAGGTCAGTTGCTTAGTTTTAGTGACGTTTTATGGGATCATAAATGAGTTGAAAAGTAAGATTTTTTTAATTAAAAAAATAAAAAAAAAATACTGAATGTTTTTCATAACCCCACAGATATCAACACATCCTAGAGCTGTGTCAGAGTGCAGGAGAGTCTGAGCGAATCATGCAAGGTCTGCAGGAAAACTATCTGGAAGCCAAGTCCAAAGACCCACATCTGCATGGGGTGAGATGGGGTTTTAGAAGCATAAAATTGATTCTTGTCTATTAATGCCATAATTTACTAGTTGCATTCACCATGCGGATGACTGGGGCCTGTGGTGTAGCAGTTAGGCGCTTCGCTGTTGCATGCAGGAGACCTGAGTTCAATTCCCAAGTGCGTGGAGAATTTTTTAAATAGATATTTTGGTCTTTCTGCTTGGATGTCGTATCCCTCTCAGCTTGGATTGGCCTTGACAGGCTTCTGAGTCAGAAGCCAGCCTCCTAAATGATCTAGATATCTAAAGTATGCTGGGGAGAGGGGGGGGGGGGGGGGGGGCAGACACACAAACACACACTTAAAAAAAAAAAAAGCTAATGGTTTGAGAGCACCACTACTTGGTCCTACTTCTTTTTTCCCTCTTGCTTTTGTCTGTTTTGCTCTTTTCCCTACAATAAATGGATGATATTGTGTTGATGTGCTTCTCTGTACACAAATTCAACTCACAAAAGTCAAGTTGTGAGTGGTGATTAGTAAGCTGTGTCGTGACTTGCGTTGTGGTTCCGGATCCTTTACTGTGTCAGGTGCAAGTGGTGTTTTTTTTCTCTCCTTTGCTTTGTTTTGCTTTTTCACCGCTTTTAATGACTGTCATTGTGCTGATTTGCTTCTTCTTTCTCACAGAAACAAATGTTAATTTTATTTTTATTGTTTTCCTAAACTTATAAGCTTTTTTGTTAATGGCTTCGCCTCTGTTTACTTCCAGCTGAGTCTAGCCAATGAGTGGTTATGTTTTGCCGACCACCTCAACCAGTACACGGCTCACTCCCAGGACTACTCTGTGATGAAATTCACACCCTTCCTGCCCATTGTGTTCCACTTCCTGTACGCCTCCAATGCCCCGCCACGAGTCCAGTTCCCTCACAAACAAGCTGAGGTTTGAAGTCTAGTTGTGTATCAATGATGTTATTCTATGACTATGTTACTAGAAAGAACAGGTGGACTCTTTTTAGTTTTGTTCCCATTGCTGAGGTCAACCTGCAGGTCTTTGGTAAAAATCGGGCCTCATCTGCACTACAAATGGTATATAATTACTACAATGTATACTTTTGTGTCTTCTCTCATTGTTTAAATCAAAAGGTTGAAAAATGTATGAGAAAGCAGACTCATGGTCTGAGCAAAATGCCATAGGAATGTGTGGTGGTTGAATTGCTTTTTTGTTGTTTAAGGCCATCTGCGGGTGAGATTTTCCCCATTTTTCCCCAGTTTGACCATACAGTTTTTCCTCTCCATTTTTTAAACCTACATCCATTTCCATCAAAGTTTCGAGCGTCCGTTTCAATCAATTATATTTCAAAGTCATTTAAAAATGGGTGTTAAAATTTTTTTTTGCAATGTAGGGTCATGTTTTTTAATATTTTCTTAATTTTTTTAAAATATTTATTTTTTCGACTTTAAATTACATCTTTTCTTTTATTTTCCATCTGAATAGCTTCATTATTTAACACAATGTACATCCAATGGAGACCTATACTGAAATAGAGCCCTTTTTGAAGATACTCTAAGATTAAACTTACAATCGGTGTTTTTGTTGGGAATTTGGAGATTTTTTTGCTCTTCATCTATGTACACATTTCCAGAGTCCATAATTATTTTTTAAATAATAATATTACAAATCTGGCGTTATTTCTTCATTATATAGGTGTTGTAGTTTGTACTTGCTAAAAATGAGAGCCAACGGACGAAAACTAAGAGAGAAGATAGCTTTTGAAATTTGATAAAATTATCCAATATGGCGGATGTTTGCTTGGTTACCATGGTAACCATGTGCTTATAATAATAAATAATTTCTTGAATTAATTCTTTATTGTCTGACTAATATGAATATATCATCTTTGCTACATATAGTCAAGGGATATGGATTTTAGAAATTCCACCAGCAGATGGCCTTAACAAAAAAGTAATAGTACTAATAGATTGTTTTTATATATAAAACATATTTATGCAGGAAAATAGGCTCTTTGCAAGGGTTAAGCAATGTAGGCCGGTTCAGGCATAATGAGGGTTTCCATCCGACCTAATGCCTCTTTACTTATTTATTATAGCCTCCTTCTTCATGAGTTTTACCTTGTCTATCGTATGCATCATTATTTCATTTGTTGCAAAAAGAGATTCCCTGGATGGGTTTGAGCAGAATCCATTGTGCACATCAGTGATATGATGCCGACACTCCTACCTGCATCACCCTACATTACTTACTGTTTGTCTTAAATATGTTGAAAGTTTGATTGCACATACTTGCTTTGAGAGCAAGAGAGAAATAATTGGGAGGGAAGCAAATAATTTTCATTTGTGCTATTAAAATTTAGATTAACAGCAGAAAATGGTACAGTAATGGGTGCTGTTGTAAAAATCAAGGTCAATTAGGCCTCTATATATGCATATAAAATATAATTAATAGTTTTCATCATCATTGTCATTACATGCACTGCTTATTTCAAATGATCAGAGTCCTTTCTTTGATGCCTTGTTCTTTTCTGGCCTAGCCAGCCTTCTCTGAGCTCCGATTGTCAGAAAAGCTTGCCGGTTAGTGCTCTAGTCTCCAATTCATCAAATAATATGTCAGTTGTGATAATGTACTCAAGTGTTCTTTTAGGTCAATTAATGACATTATTGCAGAGGGTGGTTGGAAAGTGCAGCTTGCATTTTGTGTTTTTCTCTTTCCGTCTGTCCTGATCTTTCCCAGGACTAAATGACTCATATACTGTCCTCTTTACTTTATAATTAATCTATAATTTATTGATTAATCTTTTCTATCTAATAGTGAACAGCATGGATGGTTGGGGGGTGTCACTGGGAGCTCCTACTTTTATTTCCCTCAGCGTACCGCCCCCTGAGATACTGAATTGTGTTAATGGGGTTGTAAAATGTTAACAGTGAGAACCCACTGATGTGACCATATTGTTTCTGTGGGTGGTTGACGGATGCTCTATTGTGGTTTGCTCCTTTCTTTTCGTACCTCTATCGTCCTTATCTCTCCTCCTATTTTGTGTTTGTTACTCTCTTGTAATACCTCTAATCTTCGACACTTAAATGTACTTATTGTGTTGCTAGTGCTCTAAAACTCTCACTAAAACTAAACTATACTGTTTCTCTGTGGCAGTTGCACCAGAGCGTGACGAAGACCCTCAACCTTATGACGACACTCATTTCTGACATGACGCCGGTGGTGCGCAAGTTTGTCAACCCTCGGAACATGGTGCTTGATCTTTTACCACCTCTGCTGGACGTCCTTCAGCCAACCTTGAGGCCGGTAAGGAACTTGAATGTAGTGGTGTTGTTTGCTACTTCAGAGACAGATCTGAGGGATGTGAAAATTCATTCCCTATCCCCCAAAGAATTGCATGTGTAGTGGGGACTTCTGAAACAAACTTTTTTAAAATTCTATTTTGTCATAAGGTAAATCCTGGATTCAGCCATCTGTGGTCTACTTGTTAGGCTTTTCTCTTTGCATGTGAAGAAGTGGGTTTGATTGCCTGGAAGGGAAAGCATTTTAGTGAATACATCAATCTTTTTTATGTGATTATCCCAAATGGTTGTCCCTGACAGCCATGGTTGTCCCTGACAGCCATGGTTGAAGTAGCCTGCATCCCAGGTGATTCTTTTGTTGATGGGGAAGGGAAGCGAAAATCATAACGTCGACCAGCTTTTAAAATGTACTACGCCCAAAATTTTGAAAATGTTTTTTAATCTGTGGTATTGATTGCATGTGCTCAAAAAACATGTTGAAATTCAAATTCTAAATGTTGAAGAAAGCAGGATTCATTTTAAAAAATATATAGGCCTTTAATGTATATTAATGAAAGGAAAATTTAGCAGACTGAAATACCTATGTCAGACAAGACCCCAGTGCGACACTGACATGTTATTGACTGGATATATTGTACGTACGTGTGTGTGTGTGTGTGTTATGTTATGGAACACTTGCTGTCATTTTTATGTTACATGCCCTTGGAAAATGGATGATCCCCCTGGAAAATTGAGAAGCCGGTTTGGCAGTCACCCTGTGGAAAGCTTGATGCACACCATTATTTGAGAGTAAAAGAGTGATTCTTATGAAGGGGAATCCTTTTCCTAATAGGGTTATTGAGGCTGACACTAATTGGTATACTTCTGTTTTGTCCATGTCAGGTGAATGCACAGTTGTACAGCGCTCGAGAGAAGGAGGAACTCTTGAATGTTGTGAACATCATGATAGCTTACAACATGACTTACCAGCAGGAAAAGTCCCCTGAAGGGCAATACGTCTACTCTTTGGACCCGTAAGAGTGCCCCTTTACTCATGTACAATTTGAAGGTTATTTTCAATAGAAGAGGCAGCCAGTGATATATTCAAAATGACCAATGTTATTAACCATTTGAGCCTGTCCCAAGGGTGGACTGTTAGATTTATAACTTCACATGCTTAGGTGCTCTTTTGATATGCAGAAGGCTAATGGGTTTGTAGGGTTAATGTTACACACATCAAATATTAAATGTGGTACATAGAACTCAACAGCAGTACATGTATGCAGTGGATGCTTTTTACTTTGCAGGAAAGTATCACTGTTCAGAAGGTTTGTTAACATTTATGGAGTAAACTTCTTTCTATGTATTCCTGTGGGCAGGAGTGTATACAGAATACTTTTTCAGTTGTCTTTTTATACACAAGGCTGGGAACATCGTAGATGGTACATGTAATACTTTTTCAGTTGTCTTTTTATACACAAGGCTGGGAACATTGTAGATGGTACATGTCCATAACTTCTTCTCCCTCCCCTCTGTTGTGTGAGCTAATAGCCGGTGTTTCCTTTTTGCGGTTCAAATCTTATTCTGCATAATGGGGACAACATTACTTTTCATATTTCCCAAAATTACTTTTCATATTTCCCAAAATTACTGTCATTTTGGCACAACTGGATCCTGTCGAAAAGAGGTCAAGTTTTGCAAGTGTGTTGAGGCTGGCTTGTCTTCCTGACTGAAGGACTCCCATCTTCCTGACTCATTGAATATGTTTACTGTGCTTTTTAGAATTATGTAGTGTCGAACTTTTAATTTGGCATTGCCATCGGATGAGTGGATTTGCATTGTTATCTTATACTTTTTGGTGTTGTCATCTTTGTGTAAAGAGAGCTTATTGCTAAAGCAGTCAATTCTTTCTGTCCTCAGCAATGTGGAGGAAGTGGTCAAGTTCTCAGGTCTGAAGCAGCGCAAGCAACTGACTTATGCAGCCAAGCAGATGATTGCCAGAGAGGTGTGTGAACACTTAATTATAAATACCCACACACTCTGACACAGACCTTCCGGTTTCTGCAGATAATAGATTTACTCATAGAAAAGAAAGTTTCGATTGTTTGAATCTGGCACTCTTTTTACAAATTTCTTGAACTTTGTAAGGGGAAAATTAAATGAACTAGAGGCCAATGCCTGGTCAGAAGTAGAAATCAGAGATTGATGAGGATTTAGAACTAGATTTGTTTATTGAGTCTGAGGAATTTTCAAATCGAACCAGGTTGGTGGATAGCTTTTTTTAAAAACTCCCCAGCCAACCCAAGTTGAGGATTCAAGCTAGTCATGCCAACTGAAGATCAGAAGTTACCAACTGAGCAAACGACAAGGCCCTCTTAGTACAAAAGAAATAAAGCAACAGAAAGCACATGTTAAACTTATTTTTTGTTTGCATCTTTTGCTTTCAGATTGATCTGGAGAAGATGAGAAAGAGTGAGCGCCCTGCTGTGAGATCAGAGTAAGTCCATGCTAGTTTCCCGCTGACTTTCCTCCTTGCAAACTGATGGTGTTATGTGTCAGACTCTTTCCTTTCAACATGTGGGTTGATGGTGGGTGTTCTGTTTTACTATGTTATTTTCTTTTTTCTGTTCAGGTTTACAATTGGGGGGGG